AAAAAAAAAAAAAAAAGTGGTGTTCTGCTTATTTCTCAGCATCAGTGCTGCGTTTTTACAGTTTGTTCTTGTACCTTTCAAAGGAGGCTGTTTCTCCCTCCCCCCTGGGGAGAGGAGAGGTGGGCATGGGGATGGAGAAGTGACCTGTTGGGGATCACTCCGTACCAGGCAGCACGTTCCTCTAGGAGGTGGGAGAACACTGCTAATTTTGCAGTTAATGAGATGTGAGAGGTTTCGCACGTCGATTAATTTCTCTGTGTCTGGTGGAAGGGGACAGTCGTGCTCTGCTGTGTGGGTATTTTCTTCCTTTGGTCCTTTTTATTTCAACTCCACGTGAAGGAGGCCATCAGCACTTGCAGAAGTAAGCAAGAAAGTGCTTGGATTTGCTCAGTTTGGGGTTTTTTTGGGGTTTTTTTCTTTTATTTTTTCAGCGCGTGGCCTCAGGCGAGCTGTTAAGGGTGGCAGAGAGCCAAGGGTGACAGGACCAGGATGCTGCAGAGCTGGAGGTTGCCCCTGCTCCTGGGTGGCTGCTGACCTCCTCCCTTTCTTTTATTATTTTTTTTTTTTTTAAAGATGCAGACATAATGCTGTGAACTGAAATAAATTATTTATACAATGAAAGGGCCTGATAAAAAAAAAAAAAAAAGTGGTGTTCTGCTTATTTCTCAGCATCAGTGCTGCGTTTTTACAGTTTGTTCTTGTACCTTTCAAAGGAGGCTGTTTCTCCCTCCCCCCTGGGGAGAGGAGAGGTGGGCATGGGGATGGAGAAGTGACCTGTTGGGGATCACTCCGTACCAGGCAGCACGTTCCTCTAGGAGGTGGGAGAACACTGCTAATTTTGCAGTTAATGAGATGTGAGAGGTTTCGCACGTCGATTAATTTCTCTGTGTCTGGTGGAAGGGGACAGTCGTGCTCTGCTGTGTGGGTATTTTCTTCCTTTGGTCCTTTTTATTTCAACTCCACGTGAAGGAGGCCATCAGCACTTGCAGAAGTAAGCAAGAAAGTGCTTGGATTTGCTCAGTTTGGGGTTTTTTTGGGGTTTTTTTCTTTTATTTTTTCAGCGCGTGGCCTCAGGCGAGCAGAGAGCCAAGGGTGACAGGACCAGGATGCTGCAGAGCTGGAGGTTGCCCCTGCTCCTGGGTGGCTGCTGACCTAGGAGATGGTGGGGTGACATTTTAGAGCCGGAGCTGGGTGGCAAATGACTTTTTTTTGCTTTCTTTTTCAAAAACGATGACGCGGCAGCCCGAGAGGAAACGAGGAGCCCAGCTGGTGAAAGCAGGGCTGAGGAGCCCTCATCCTGCTGGAGCTCTGCGCCGGGTTCCTCTCTGCTTCCCAGCTGGCCCTCCTGGTTTCCAGGAGGTGCAGTTTCCTCGGGTGAGAGGACATCTCTGGCTGCTTTGCGAGACGAGGGTCGTGGGGCTCTGAAGGATTGCAGGACCTGGAAATGAACCTAAAGGGCCCACCTGGGTGATACCAGTTATGGAGCTCCTATCAAGGCTGGTGGTGCCTGCCCAGAAATAGCTTGGAGCAGAGCTGAACGGTGGTCTGCGGCGTTCAAGGGTCAAGTTGCTTGAGGGCTCAGCTGCCACCTGCACGGAGAACATCTGGAGGGTCCGGTTCCCCACCGGTTCCTTCCTTGCACCGAGCATCACCGGTGGGTTCCTGTCTCTTCAACGCTGGTGGCACGGTGGTCTGGTCCAGCACTCCTGAAGAAGCTCCTGACCGTTGCTTCCCTTCGTGCCTCCAGCCCCATTTTTCCAGGCAGCATGTGGGACGTCGTATCTTTCTCCTGACCTTCATTTCATGGATCTGAAAGCCCAAGAGCGGATGCTGCAGTGCCTGCACCCTCCTCAGCGTGAAGGGACTCATCCTCACTCATCCCAGCTGGCAGGAGCTGATTTACGGGGGACTTCTTCTGGCGTGGAGTCACTCACATGGGTGGATTTCCACTTGCTCTTATGGATGAGGGTGCTTCAAACACCCCTCCAATGGCTTGGCATGTCCCGTGCTTTCATGCATGTAGTTTCATGATGTCTCCTGTAACCCCAGAGCCCTGCAGCCCTTCTCCTGGAGCCTCATGGGTGCCCAAAGGAACCTTGGGCACACTTGGTGATCTCATGTGTCCCGCATGGAGCTGGGGCTTTCCTCCTCCTGGTTTAAAAAGGGTGGGGGATCATCATCCCTGCAATGGAGAAAGGGAAACAGCTAGATGGGGTTTGGGCTGTAGTTTTTGAGGGGCTGTGACTTTACGTGTGTGTGTGTGACAGTGCAACTGGCTCTGTCCCCCACCCCCCAGCCCTGTGACGGGGGGGGGCATTAATTTGGGATGTCTCAGTGTGAAAGCCACACAGGAAGGGGAGCTGTGTCTTCTCACAAGCAAAGCTCCTCGTGCCTCGACGCTGCAAGGGCAGACCGTCCTCCTTTCAAGCCACACAGCCTCCCCCCCTGGCTGGAGAGTGCTTTTTGTCAGCAGGGTGGTGGTTTTTTTTGTGTGTTTAGGCCAGTTGTCATGGAAAACATTGCACAAGGACCTCGCTGACCTTGCGGTGCCCTGAAGCAGCGTGCTGGCTGTGATTTGTGCTGCTGTAGCATCTCCCCGAGCAGGCAGTTCAGTGAAACAGTGAGCAGTGCTGGAGATACCATCCCCAGCCTGATGGTTTGGGGGACCCTGGTGGCATGTGGCACCCAGGACCACTGGGCAGTGCCCAAGGATGCTGCCCCTGCGTGGGACCAGCTGGGAGGAAAAAGCAGTGAGGGAGCAGTTGGGCTGTCAGCTGCATCAGATCTCCATAAGCATGGGCTGGGAGCTGGGGAGAAGGACCTGCCACCTTTCAAATGGGCAGAAAAGGCAAGAAGAGAATGGAACAAGGCTGGGGTCCAGCTGGGAGTGGCAGGAGATAGGGTTGGGGCAGAAACACGCGGAGGTGAACCACCAACATGTCCCCCACCACTTCTCTGCAGGTCCCTGACACAATCTGACATAGTTCAGTCCACCAAGGGAGGGCTGTGGAGCATCTCTGCAGGTCCCTGACACAATCTGACATACTTCAGTCCACCAAGGGAGGGCTGTGGAGTGATTTCCACTTGTTCTTATGGATGAGGGTGCTTAAAACGCCCCTCCAACAGCTTGGCATGTCCCACGCTTTCATGCAATGGATGAGGGTGCTTCAAACACCCCTCCAACAGCTTGGCATGTCCCATGCTTTCATGCTT